TTATCTGTGTAGCCTTTTCCCAAGTGAGCTCATTAAAGATAACACATTTTTAGCCCATGCTTTGGCAGTACAATTAAACTTTTAACTCTAAATATTTAATTTAATATAATCTTTATGAAAGGTGCCTAACTGATAGTGTTGACAAGTAAAGTCCTTTATATATGCACAAAACAGGTACAACATTGCTGGCATTGGGACAAGCTTTCCCACATCACCTTACCAATGTACCACAGTCCTAACTGACAGGCAACAGAATATTTGAGTTTCCAATGCCCATTTGATCCTTCACTTCTTCACAGAGAATGCCAATAAAGTTGCCATTTGTGATGTGGATTCCTGTCTCCTAAAAACTGGACTGAAACTAAAATATTATGCTACTCAGGTCACTAGTCAGCCATCATATGTATCATCAAAAAATGGTAACAAGTTTGTTGTTATTGACTGTGTCCTCATTTTGGCAAATTGACTTGCAGGGGAAAGGTTTTTGTTTGTTTGTTTTTGTTGTCTCTCCCCCCCCATCTCTTTAGCAATTCCCTGAGCCATAAATTAAATTTACCAACTAGCCCAAATACTGCAGTATATGTGCCACTGCATTAATGCCACAGTTGAACCAGCTTCTTAAGGATATAAAGGTCATAAGTTGGTGTTCTCTCTTTTTTCTTATGTAATCATTTTGATTTTTGGATCTAAAATTTAAAACCAAGAGACTGTACAAAGAAGCACAAGGCTCTGTAAAATTCACGAGTGATTAGTTTGTTCAGTTCTACAGGGAAAATGTATAAAAATATTTTTTCAAAAGTCTAGGGAGCGCCTCAGAGCAAATGTTAAAAACAAAAGTGGGGAGGAGTCTTTGAAAATACTAAAGTCAATACAGAAGAGACTGAACTCTTTTTTTTATTTTATTTTTTCAATTTTTTCCCTCCAGGGTCAAGAGCAGGTGGTTCTTTTGATCACACAAAATTAAGCTCTCTTTTCTTTTACCACTGAATATAGGTGAGGAAATAATCTTCAACAAAGCTTGTACCTTGCTAGATTAGGTATTAGACATTTGGATGTGTGTTTTCACTTTTGTTTGCTTGTAACCCTTTCTAACTTTATTTCTTATACTTGAATTCACTTAAAACCCTATATTCTTTTGTTAATAAATTTGTTTTACTATTGATCTAAACCACCAGCACTGCGTTTGAATTGAAGTAAATGTTAACTCCAGTTAATGTGGCCAGCTGGTGGGTTGTGTGTCTTTAGAGGAACAAACAAATCTTATTATTTCTCAGAACTTCCTAGGAGAGGGCTGGAAACTACAGAGCTCACAGCTTAGGGAAAATTCAGGACCGGGAGTGTGCTGGGGTCACCCTACAAGTAGTCACCAAGGGTGGTGGAAGTCAGAGTGGGGCTGTAGGGTTGTAGACAGGCTGCTGGGGTCAGGGCTGCCTAGCCTCACAGACACTCAGGCCTGCATGCTTGTAGGCTGGATGAGAGCATCTCAGGTTGGAAGCTACAGCAGCAAGGTATTGTGAGGCACCCAGGGCTGTGGAAAAGGTGGTGATTCAACCCCTCACTGGTCTGGAGTGTTCCACTGAATACTGTGACAAGCTCACAAAAGGAGAGATAGGAAAAAAGTCAAAGAGAAATTATTAACTTGAGCATTGTTTTGCTGAAAACATTTTTTTCAGGTGAAACTTTCCAAATTGATAGTGATTTTCAACAGCTCCCACATTTTAAAATGTACAGAGATCACTTGGCTTGTGTTTATTTCTAATAATAAGAGATACAATTCCCAATATGTGGAGATAATTTTTCAATTCTACAGTACCCATAGCTTTTTCATAGCTATTAAGGAACAAGGAACATCTGTTTCCTGGTATAAATCTGTCATGCAACCAGTAAATCCCAACAAGATGACATTACCAGTTTATAACTCAAAACACCGCAGTTGCATAGATAAAAACAGTATATCCTGCTGAACAGCTACCATGTCGCCTATAGTTTATTTGAAAATATGACAGCTGAATAAAACACTTACCTTTCTCATTTGCAAGAGTTAAATTCTACTGCAGATACTGTATATAAGCAGATTTCAGAGTAGCAGCCGTGTTAGTCTGTATTCGCAATGCATCCGATGAAGTGAGCTGTAGCTCACGAAAGCTTATGCTCAGATAAATTTGTTAGTCTCTAAGGTGCCACAAGTACTCCTTTTCTTTTTGTATATAAGCAGGCGGTCTTATACCATAGTTAAGAGGCTGTACTTAGTCACTAGCTACTACAATTCCAATATTTTAAAGGGAGCTACCAGTTTAATGCAGTCATGTATTACCATCAGTTTACTTGTCAAAGATGGAGGTGACCAGATGTCCTGATTATAGGGATAGTCCTGATATTCGGGCCTTTTTCTTCTATAGGCTCCTATTACTCCTCACCCCTGTCCCAATTTTTCACACTTGTTATCTGGTCACCGTATTTCTGCTTGCACAACTGGGGGCCTACGTTTTGTTATTTTATTATTTATTTTGTTATTTTTGTTATTATTTATGTCTATTACCGGCATCATTTTTAATGTAACCTATTCATAACCTCTGAAAAATACTATGAAAATGCTCTCCAGGATGTCTAAGACATTTGCTTCCAAAAATTACATAAAATTGGACAAAACCAAGATTTTCCATGTAGGCAATTCAGTATATTCTCCCTTACATGAAAAAGAGCTAAAGAAAATTTGCTTGGTGGTCAGAACAAAGTAAGAACTGTCTTTCATAATCTCTTATTCCTTGATTTATCTTCTCATATGGTACCACATACAGTGCTTGAATCGTATTTAATTACAACAATATATGTGTAGTCTGTGGCCTTAATCACTGGTTAGTATGGGGGATGCAGTGGAAAAATGGTTCTGCCTAACATATCTGATTCACAGTTGTAATGTCACATGAAAAACATAAATTAAAGTAGGACTGTAGCGGAGTGATCACCCGCTCCTGCCCCGAAATCAGCCCTGGGAGAGGGCTGATGCTGGGAGCAAGCAATTCCCAGGCTGACTGGGGGAAGCAGGCTCAGCTGTGGCCACCTCAATCAGGGCTCAATCAGGCTGCCTCAATCAGGGCTCAGCTGGCCCTTATAAGATGGCAATGGGCCAGGAGAAGACAGAGTCTCCTCTAGCTGTGAAAGGAGATTGGCCTGGCTTCTGGGGAGCTTGAGAAGGTACCTGGAGCGGAGCGGAGCGGAGCTGGGGAAGGTCAGAGGAGCTGGGAGGCTCCAGACTGGAAAAGCCCCAGGCTGCAGGCCTGGCAGATGGCCTAAAAAAGGGTACTGGGGTTGCAGGGGGCAGCCCACGGGTAGGCAGAGGCAGCAGGTCCAAACCCTCCTTGCCTGTGATGATTGGCTTATACACTGCAGTCTGCCCCAGTGTGCAGGGGCTCAATGATGACTGGCAGTAGCCAAAGACTGAGGGGAGGTGGGGATAGTGGGTGAGGGTTCCCTGGAGAGGGGAGATCCAGAGACTGGGGGGGGTACTGCCAGGGGGCAGCACCCTTGGTAAAAGGGGCACTATGGTCCAGGAGGGACACGGGGGCCAAGGGCAAGTGGGACACCGGCCTGCAGAGATGCTCTGGAGGCTGGAACACTAATTCCCTGGATGACCAGCAGGAGGAGCTGCAGAGGTGAGTCCCGCCCCGTGACATTGACTAATGAAGTTTAAACAATCTTTAACACATCATTTAGATGAGTGGTGTTATTTTTACCTGAATGTTGTGGAAATACATATTGGAAATACTCATTGGGCTAAACCATCTCTTACTCATTTTTCTGGCTAGACTCATGGTAAACTCTCCTCTCAGGAAGACCAAAAAGTGTACTCAGAAATAAAAATGCTATTTAGGGAAACCTGTATTTGTAACAAGTTTTCATGAACTGGATGGGGAGGGAGAATTTATCTGATGAGAAACATCCAGGAACTTAATGTGGGTATTTGTTTACTCTTTAATTTGGGAGAACTTCTATACCATTTTTTTTTTCTTGGATGAACCAATGAAATTCAAGAGAACTGGGGACATTTATTCCATTGGAACTGTTTATTCCATTAATTCTAGTGGTGGTTTCAGCACGGGATTGCTAAATTGCCAAAAGATTGCACAAACAAGCTCTTGTCTATGCTCTGGATTTGTTTTTGTTAAGTTTTAAAAACTATGGTTATTTTCAGCTGTGACAATTAGATCTATCGCTGATTGATTACTTAAGATGTTTCTGAGGTTAATAAGTATAGAACTCTCTCTGGTATTGTAACATGCTGCCTCTGGAAACCATTTTCCTTGAAGCACCATTCATAGTAGAGGATATATTCTCTGTTGCATGTATGAGAATAAGGAACTATACAATGTCTGAATGAGATTCCAGTACACAGAAGTCAAATTTATCTTTTACATAGCTATTGCGATTGTGAATGCTGACAGTCAAATTAGCAATTTGTTCATGCTTCTACATTTCTTGTATGTTTATGTACAAAGAGAACAACAGGAAAAATACATCAAGAATGCCATTTACTACCCATTGTTGTTTTCTCATTTTCACTGTACTAAATTTACAAAGTATTTAATATAACCAAGTAGCAATATAACTTTGCTCCCTTCCCACCCCACCCCACAACAAAAACATAGCAAAAGTACAAAGTGGTTCCTGAGCCACTGCTGATCAAACACAAGGTATGATTAACTTTATTCAGCTCAATGATAATCATAAATATTAATAGCATTTGTACCACTCTACAGGAATTCAGCTTGAATTATTGAAATTGACCTACCAAGTACTTAAAGCATGGTTTTGCTAAGCCTATCGATGCAACCACAGGTAGTCAGAGTGTACTTGAAAGCATGGGGTTCCTCAATTGTGTAGAGAGAGGGCTGCTGTTTGTCACAGCAGCTTGTAACATCACTGTTCAGATTCTTCAGACATCATGCCAATTTCCACACACAATAACAGAAATTTGCTTTCTTCTTATTGCGCATGTAATGGAAGAAAACAAATGATTAATGATGTTGAAATCCCTCTTTATACATCATAACTGATAAGTAATGGACAGAAACAAAAAACTCTTGCATTCTAGTTTATTTTATTACGGAAAAACAAACCAGGTCACTTTTTTGTGTGTATTATTTCTTTTATACAAACATTTAGAATGTTAACAAATTTCAATGTTAATGAATTTCAAACATATACAGATTTTTTTAGAAGTGAACATGGAAAGTACTTAATACATAACTTTGTGGTATCTTCTCCCCATTTTGTACATGCACCATAGTACTTACTCAACAGAGTAGGTATGACACTATTCTTAGAATCATAGAATCATAGAATATCAGGGTTGGAAGGGACCCCAGAAGGTCATCTAGTCCAACCCCCTGCTCAAAGCAGGACCAATTCCCAGTTAAATCATCCCAGCCAGGGCTTTGTCAAGCCTGACCTTAAAAACCTCTAAGGAAGGAGATTCTACCACCTCCCTAGGTAACACATTCCAGTGTTTCACCACCCTCTTAGTGAAAAAGTTTTTCCTAATGTCCAATCTAAACCTCCCCCACTGCAACTTGAGACCATTACTCCTCGTTCTGTCATCTGCTACAATTGAGAACAGTCTAGAGCCATCCTCTTTGGAACCCCCTTTCAGGTAGTTGAAAGCAGCTATCAAATCCCCCCTCATTCTTCTCTTCTGCAGACTAAACAATCCCAGCTCCCTCAGCCTCTCCTCATAACTCATGTGTTCCAGTCCCCTAATCATTTTTGTTGCCCTTCGCTGGACTCTCTCCAATTTCTTCTCATGCTCTGGAGGTTCTAAGGGAAGACAATGTTACATATCAGCTACGCAACAATATTTCAGCAACAGTATTGCTGTGAGAAGATTTCTGGTGATGGAGGTGAAGTATTAACAACATAACCATATTCCATCCTCAGTAGATACACAGAATGCATCACTGTCTCATAAGAGAAAGTTCTCTTCTTCCCACTAGTCCTCTACCTCTTTGAGGCACTAAATTCTTTGACTTGTTAGTACATTGCTCACGTTAATGGTTTAAAATAGCTTGAGTTGGACTCTCTAGTACGCGAAGGCCACCACTCATGATATAGCAGCATACAGCAGCCTTAAACCAGCTGAAGAGCCAGTGGAAAATTCCTTCTTCACAGGAGAACTCTCAAGGCATAATGATTTCTGTCTAGATGTGTTCCCTCTCTAAACCAGGAAGGGCCAGGCCTTCCTGTCACAGAGTCTTCTGCCTGTGATTCAGAAGCTATTGTAATGAGTATTAATTAGAGGAATTCCCTTATTTTTTCTCTAACATTGGGAATAGATGTTCTGATTTCACCTAATACAAAGCACAAAGTAGTATTTTTTCAGACTTTTTTTATTATTTTGAATTGGGATACAGTTTCTTAATGGAAAGTTTGATAAAGCCTTGAGTGCAAAAACAAACAAAACTTTTCATTCAGATATGACAATGTAATAAGATTATAAACACTCAATAACCCATACTTCAAGTTAGTTTTTTCCTGAATTTCCTTACTAAAAAGTGGGATGGGAGGCCATTAAGATAAACAATAGTTATCTTCTTCTGTCCTTCACTAACAACTTCCACATGTACCATGCTGACATATGTATTTGTACCTTAGAACAAGGTTGGCTGCTAGATGGCTTTAGGGAACGTTCCCCACTGCTGGAAATTGAACAATAGAATTGGAAGGACTGCAAGTTTTGAAATATATATATATTTTTCTCAGGTGCCAATATACATAATGCTACAAAGTTACATTAATCAGATTTGGACAGAGATTCAATATAATAGTCAACCATTCATAATCTATATTTTCCTTATTAGAGGACTGGCAAGCCAGAGACAGCAGTTGCAAATGAAATAGCTTGTAGCCAGCAGGCTGGCATATGGTATGATCTAAGTTAGCCAAGTTCTTGTAAACACTGATTATGCCAAAGCAATAAGTAGTGCTTAGTCAATGGAGATAGGGGATATTAATGGCCCTGATCTAATCAATCACTGCTTTATTCACCAGAAGTCTCAATACTACCAGTCTCTCTGGGTTTATTTTTCTTTTGCAATATTTGTTTTTTGTTTTTGTTTGTTTGTTTGTTTTGGTAATGTAAGACCTACCATGTGTCAGGGTCTGACACACAGGCCTCTGCACCTGCTTGAACAAAAGATTTCTCTACAGGAATAACAGCATCTCACCACGGGCATAGGTCATTGGCTGACATCAAGGATAAAGGAGGGCCTTTTCTCAATTATTGTTAAGTTTAGTGATACCATGGTGCTTCAAATATCACTGTGCTGACATTTAAAGGTTCAAATTAAAAGTGTGGAAAAAAAAGGAAAAAAAAAAAGCTTTCCTTCACTTGGTCAGAGAGGACATTTGTTTAGGATTCCTCTATCTTTTAAGTTGGGGATAACTCTAACTTAGTTACTGGAGTTAGACTTTAAGAATATTTGTTGTCATAAGCATTTTCTGTTGATTCCAGATTTCCCTTTTCTTAGGGATAAAGACTTCTCTTATACTATTGTCGACAGCTAAGAGCAAACAAACACAAACGAAGAAAAACAAGAATCAGCAGTGACCTGGGCCCCAAACACAAATTAACTAGTTAATCTCTGCCCAAAAGCCTGAATGACATCATTCAGAGATCCCCATAGAATTGACAGTCACTCTTAATACTCATTGGGTCCAGTTGAATTTATATGCAGTTTAGATGCATCAGTATAAGAAAGATATTAACTAACTCAAGGGAATTCAGAAAATGATAAAGATGATTAGGAATATGGAAGAACTGAGGTAGGAGGAAAGGTTAAAAGAACTAAATATAGCTAATTACCACTAAGAGGGAATATAACTGTGTACATATATTCGAAGGCCTTTATGTAAGGAGAGCCATTTCAGAGAATGATTTGGACTGAGAGAGGGAATAAATAGGTGTCGCAAGATGAACATGCTGATTTGGCTGGACATTAAGACATGTTGTTTCATTTAGACTATGGAATTCTTTCCCAAGGGCCCAATCCAGCGTCATCTTATGTGGTTTCGTTTGCACGACAAGCAGCAAACAACTCTCTTTCAATTGTGCTGTTGGGTAAAGCAGCAGACAACCTGTACAGTGGATCTCTACACTCACAGCTATGCTATGGATGTGACCTTTGTGGCAGGTTTTTGCAAGGGAATTTAGAATGAGAAAGGTGAGTGTGACCCCCACAGGCAGAGACATTGCCAGTGGAAATCTTGTGTGGCCCAAAACTGGCATCTGCTTCTCTATACCTTATATCTTATCCAGCAGTAGCTGCCAGTTGGCCAGCCGTGTAGGTGGCCTGAGCTTTATTACAATGGTGTGGCTGTGGTTTGCAGGTCCATAAAATCACAGCCCTTTTAACAAAGGCATGCTTTCTCAGAATGAGGCCTAGGGGAAGTAGTGACAATTCTATCACTAGCCAAAAGTAGACTGGATAAAGCACTCTTTAATGCACTGTAGAAAACAGTCTTTCACTGGCAGGGGGAAGGATTAAATGACCTAATTGTTCTTTTTCTAATTTCTATCATTTCTAGCTATCTGAAGATAAAAGTGGTAAGCTAGATGCTCTGAGATCTAAGTATCCCTTAACATGGGACATTATTAAGGAAAGTATGCTTACTACATCAAGGGGTTGCTGGCAATTCTCTATACTGTATGCAAGAGGGATCTAAACTCCAATCATCCCAAAACAACTCAATGAAATAACAATCAGATCTACTGCAATCTAACAAGAAAATGCTAAAACAAGAAAAGGCATAGTAAGTTCATACAAGAAATTGCAATTTGTACATCAACTTTAAAACAAGAAAAATCAGATCACTTCACTAGCAAGCTATGTGTATTATAACTCCTTCAATCTCTATCAATAATAACCCCTTAAAGCTTACATTTTTTGGTGTGAAACTGACTGGTTTTGATATTATTCATATTAGAATGAGAAATACAACAAATATATGGTAAATGTAATTCATAGAGCTGGTAAATGTCCATTTTGGACAGTCAACTGTAAATGCTCTCTACTCAATATAGTGTTTGTCTTGTTAATAGTAATGAGAGACATCTTAGTGACTAGTGGAAAGCAGGCTTCTGTGTTTTTGTCTGATTATATCCTGTTCTGACACACCAGATCATGGGGTACTAAAAATTTGTTAAAATCACCATAAAGTTTGATGCATAGCAGAAATACTGTACATACAGACACATAATGACACTTTGTGATATTTATTTATCAGTAGAAATAGACTTAATAAAAGATTTGTCTTCAGAAATAACAGTTTAATTACTGGTATCCTGATATTAATACATTAAGGAATATAAAAATTTAAAAGTTTAAATGCAAAGGCTTTATCTCCAAACTACAGAATGAAATGGGATCCCTAAACCAACAAATATGTATCAGGCTTGCTATTATTTGCATGATTTCACAATGTGAGAGAGAAGAAAACAGGAACAACTGTTAACATGACTCTCAGTAGCTTTCAAGAAGTAAGCATGATAGACATGGTAAGGTAGAAAACCACATGGTTGATTCTGCTTTTGTTATGCCAGTGTTTCTCCACTGGGCTTCAGTTTCTTAAGTCTCTCTATTGTCATATGAGCTTAATGTAGTGGAGATTCAAACCCAAGAAAAGTCAGGATACAAATTAAAATGATTTGGCAATATAGTTGCCAAATTGAGACATCTGAAAAGCCTTTGAGTTTCTTTCTACCTGTGAAGATTTGTTCCCTGCAAAGTGAAAAGCCAAAACACGTTTGCGGTCCTCGAACAGGACACTACAACAATGTTCTCCGTCTGCATGGAACACAGCAGTAGCAGTTAGCAAGAAGAGGGGAGAGAATGCTGATGAAAATTTGGTGTTTATGAAGGAATCCTTAAAGAGAAATGTCACAGAGCCAAAGAAACACAGGGCCAGATCCTCACCATTTATACCAGTTGAGGATCTGCTTCACATTGTTAAAAAATACAACAACAAATAAATGTGAATAAAAACCAGGGTTGAAGAGAGGTAGATGGTGATGTATGTAGGAGGAAAAATTTGGAGAGGAGAAGGATCGTACCAGAAATAGACCTAGAGAAAACATCTGCAACAAGCTGTGCCAGTTTAAAGGACTGAAAGGAATGCGGCAGAGGATATAGGAAAAGTAGCAACATTGGGGTAGAATGTTTTTTTTTCTCTTTAAATCATTACTACAACAGAAACACAATCTCTTTATTTCTGTAGAAAACATGCCAGAAAAGTGAAGGAGGGCCTGCTACACACGGGAACACTGTCTGCTCCAAGAAGTCATTCAAATGAGAACCCCCATACCGGGGTGTGTGTGAGAGAGAGAGACAAACAGCTGTAGAGTACATAATCAGAAGCAGGAATAATGGGGTTGGAACATAAGGAGGGTGAAAATGAGACTAGAAGTAGCTCAGAAGGGAGCAACTGCATGTGCCTTCTTGAGCTCCTGCATTTGCAATACGCCAAACTTACTTTTCCATTAAAGAGATGTCAGAATTCTACAAAACCCCTGCCAGCAGCAGTACCCAAGACTTAGAACATTTCAGAGGCTCACAGTTGCTTTAAGAGGTTGGTAGAGCCATGGCTCTCAGGAAATTCTGCAACACAGGAAAAGAGGTACTTACAGTACTTGGCCATTACTAGAGGGTGCAAATCATTTCACGAGGGTGCTTAACCTCTGGTACAGCAAACGGTGATGGCAGTTCCTCGGGTCATATCAAAATACTATACCTACCATATGAGGCAGAACCTCGTGGCATTTTGTCCCTCACAGCTGGGTACAATGCTTATCTGTCAAATGATTATAAGGCAAATTTTGTTCTATGTATATTAAAATACATATTTAAATATAGATCGCAGGACATTCCATGCATGATAAATGGCACAAAAGAAGTGCAAAGATGTTTGTAGGAGATGTAGACAAAGACCACTGAGGATGGCAACATAAGCTGAGTTAAAGGGGCACTGCTGTTTTTATATTTTTTGATGTTATTCAAATATTTACCTTTATTGGCAAGATCCTTGGCCCTTGATCCAGATGCTCCATGCTATTGATGTATAGCCAGCTCTATGCCACCTGTTCTGACCCTCAGTGTAGGAGTTACGGAAAGTACATGGAGAAGGTGAGAGGAAGCCATTGTCACTGACATAACTCAGAACAACCTAAAGATCCAGACCTACCCCAGGACTGGGTGAGGAGATGGTGGATCTCAGCAACCTTACTCCAACCCTTCCTCAGCTGCTGTCCAGTGTAAGCATGACTGAGCTGAGAACTGAGGCCTATGGGAATGTATTTTCACATAGCTTGTTCTGTTTAAATCTTTGTGAATATAAACTTTGGAGTCTGCCTTCTCCTAGGCCCCATCTTATAAGATTTGTGAACAGGCATTTAGGAAAAAGTAAACACTTGTTTTTGATCTTTGCAGAGACTTATTTTAAAATTTGCCTACAGATGGTAAAACCCACTGCCAAGTCTGAGTGCAGATAATTTTATGGGATAATTACCAACCTTACTAAAGTTTTTAGAGGCTAGTTATGAGGAGACTAAAGAAGTCTGAATTATAACTAACCACCTAAAATGGACAGGTAACTCCTTTCGACATTGGATCAGATTCTGGGCTGCATCTGAACTGTGCTTGGCTCAGCTTAAAAGGAGCAAGAGGAAGGAAACATTTTCCCCTACCTCAGTCCTTGGATGAGCCAGATGCTGGGTTGCTCTCCTGTCCTCTGTAAAGTAGCGCAGCATCAAGGTTGAGCTGTTTTATGCCAGTTGCTAGAGATCCCTGAAGGGCCATTCCAGCAGCTGATGATCACTGGGGGCAGGGATACCCCAGCCACACCTATTTCCCCATAGGTGCTCTCTCTTCACAGGGGAGCTGGAAGAGAAGATGCAGGAAGGGTAGTTGAGGGGATGAAGAGTCACTATGGCAGTCCTATGCTACAGGAAGATTTCCATATACAGGGGAGATCTTTCACTGGCTGGGTTTGCCAAGTTTACAGCTGTCTTGGTCTGGTAGACAGACACAAAATGGCCCCAGTGCAGCTGGGAATCTGAGCTTTTATTCTGATCTGCAAATTCATCATCATTATCACTCACATAACTGTATTGGTCATTGGGGCATCATCACTGATGAGCAATCAACCAATTGTCTCCACTCCTAATGATGGTGTCTCAGTGCTTGAGTCTCTGTGAAGTCCACTCCTATGCACTCTTTTATCTTGTCAATCCATCTCTTCTTCTGCCTACCTCTTCTTCTCTTCCCCTGTACTGTCCCTTGGATGATCTTGGATAGGCCAGATCTTGTTACATGGCCATACCACTTCAGCTTGCGCTTCTACGATTGTCCGAACGTCTTCATATGACCTCGAGCATGGGGTGATAATGTTGCGGACCTCTTCATTAGTGATGTGGTCAAAGTAATAGATGCCAAGGATTTTTACGGAAGCATTCATCTCTACTACCTGTATTTTCCATTCAAGTTATGCTGTAAGGGTCCATGTCTCACACGCATACGGAAAAATGGAGATGAACAATGCGTGCAGCAGTTTCAGTTTGGATTCCAGGGAGATATTCTTATTCCTCCAAATCGGCTTTAGCTTTGCCACTGCTGCTGTTGTTTGTGCAGTTCTTGCCCGAATTTCTGCCTTGGATCCTTCATCAGTGATTGCCCCCAAATACTTGAACTGTTTCACTGTCTCCAGCTCTTATCCATTGATAGTGATATGTGAGCTGATCCCATCATGTTTGTCATCAGCTTGATTTTTCTCTGCACTGATTTCCACACCATATTTTGCGGCTAAAAGGCAAATTATTTTGACAATTACAGGTTGCCTTTCTTTGACAGAGTGTTGATTAGTGACTGTGTCCACGTGGAGGGACACTCACCGGTCTGCCAGATCTTGTTGCAGATCTTGGTGAGTACATCTATTAATAATTATCCTCCAAATGTCATCAGTTTGGCTGGGATTGTTGGAAATACCTGTAGCCTTTCTGTTCTTGAGTGATTTCACAGCTGTCTCCACTTCTTCATGTAGTATTGGAAAGTCATCCTCTGTTGAATCTGGGCTGTCTAAGACACTAGGATCTCCATTTGTCTGGTGGTTGTATAGATCAGAGCAGTAGTTTATCCACCTATTGATGATATCCCTTTCTTCTGTAAGACTGTTCCCTTCTTTGTCTTGAATTGCATTAGTTTTGGTCCATCTTTCCTTTGTCAGATCTTTTACAACCTCGAAGGCTCATTTGCTATTTTTATTATTGATACACTCTTCAATTTTAGAGCATTGTTTTTCAATCCATATCTCCTTGGCCACCTTCATACCTTTTTTGATCTTTCTGCCAATAATACTGTATTATCAGTTCCCTCATTGCTGTTCTTGACTCTCTTAAGTTCTCTTCTAATGTCACACATTTGTAATATTTCATTTGTGACCCATGGTTCTGTTGTCTTAACATGTTTCCAAGGATGTCCATTGCTACCTCATTCATTACAGCATTGAAATTGTTGGTCATTGTTTCTATGACTTTCTCTAGAGCAAGCAGCAGGGCAAATTTTCCACCGATCATTGCTTGGAATGTCTCTGCAATGTTTCGGTCTCTGAGTCTTTCTAAGTCAAACTTGATTCTGGTGGACTTTGGCCTGACGATTTTCCTTAGCCGCAGCCAAAAATTTTGCATCACAAGTCATGAACACTTCCCATATCAGCACCGTGAAAGCTCCTTGTTTTAGCTCTGTTAATCCCAGAACGAAATTGGTTTTGCACCATGATGTAGTCAATCTGGTTGTGATGTAGACCATTAGGTGTGTGCCATGTTGATCATCTGGATGCTTTATGTGCTCCTAATGTGTTTGCAAGAACCAGATCGTTATAGCAGGCAAACTCAAAGTCTCAATCCTCTCTCATTGGTTACCGCATTACAGAAAGGGCCACAATCTCGCCAATCTGCCTGTGCATTGGTACCTACTTTAACACTCCAATCTCCTTGTACAATCAGGATATCTTTCTTGTGTACCGTATCGATGATGTCTTGGAGCTGATTGTAAAAGTCTTCAATTTGCTCATCATCATAGTCTGTTGTAGGGGCGTAGACTTGTACCACTGTGATATTTAAATGGTACTGCCTTTAGACAGATGGAAATAAGCCTGCTGGACATTGGGCAGCATCCTAATACTGAATTCTTGATATCTTTATGCACAAGAAATCCTACACGGTTGACATGTTTGTCCTCTCCATTGTAATAGAGTACATGGCCTTCTTCTGTTAGTGCCTCTCCAAAGTTCTTTCATCTGACTTCAGAGATTCCTAGGAGATGCCAGGTGTGTTGTTTCATTTCGTACGTGAGTTCTTTCAACCTCCCTATTTGTCTCAATGTCCTTACATTCCATGTGGCTGTGGTGATATCTCTTCCATAGATCCTCTTTGTTGGGGTTACACCAGTAGTATACTTGTTGTGTCCGCCCTGGTGGGAGATAGATGGCGCGGTCGTTATTAACCCGGGCTGCGATCAATCCAGTATGGACATCCTTGAATTGCTCATCATATGGTGTGTCTTGGGTAAATTTCTAACCTGGAAGAGCCCTTCCTTCTCCAGGTAGCCCCCTTTTAGTCACAATAATTTGCAAATTATTTCCTTGTTAAGAAGAAAAAACTTCAGAAAGGATCAAGTCACACATTCATTTACAACAGTTAAAACCATTTCCTTTTTGGACACAACAAGCTGTTTCTACAGTTAAGTTTACTTGTTACTGTGAACAGTTCTTATCTCTGAACAGTTTTGAAGTATTAAGTTCTCTAAATAATATATGCTTTTTTAAATATAGCAAACAATCATTTGCAAGTGCATTTGTTCCATTAAGTGAATCAAAAATATTTTCCCTTCTCTCTTCCTCAGGATTAAAATCTTTGGTGCAATATACAAGAAGCATCTTAAACTAGTCCTATGATTCTAACCATTTAAAACCATTACAAAGTCTGCCTCTGACTTAATTATTTATCTGATTTAGATTATTTCAGAATAGGTGACTAATTCTCAGCTATTAACATTAATAACTCTTCCAAACTAATTAACATTGAAACTGCCTGGTTATCCCCAAATAATCCAACTCTCCATTAGAATCCTTCCAAAATAATCTGCACTGACTTTGACAGGGCTTTTTGTTATTTTGAAAATATAATGTGAGGCAAGATTTCTTTTCAGAAGTATTGACAATAAGGACTTCAGTTCTCTCACTGAAGGTTAATACAAAGGCTGAGATTGAAAGCAGTCTCCAAAACAGTACAGAACATTGTTTTTTTACAAATTAAGTGGTTATTCTGCTTTGCAAAGTCTTCTGATGGAGATGTTCAGCTGACATTTAAGGGTCAGCTGGCAACTAGAGCCGCAGATTTGTGTAGCAGATATGAGATTGGAGCTATATCATTTCTAGTTGTCCCCCTGATTTCTCAGTCTGAACACTTATCTCTGTCCCTCTTAAAGATTGTCTGGGATGATCTCTGGCACTCCATATTCTGGCTTTCTTCTCATCCTCAGACATTTTGAGTCTTTGTCATGCCAAGGATATGCCTCCCAGAACTCAGACCACCTCTTTGCCAGTCAGATCTTATTACACATCTGCCTCTTGTACCATACTCCACCACTGGAGTCCACTCTGAAACTACACTCTTAGAATGCCTCATGCCACAAGAGGCTAATCTTTGATTCACTCAGAACTCCTCAGGTTAACATGTGCATGTTTAGGAGTTTTTCTTTCCAATTTCTGGCAATTTCTCAGAAGCATACACTGTTTTTCTTGCTACACCTATATTCCTCTTAAGTTTATTTACATGTTCAGTCAATCAAATTTCTTTGCCATTTTCTCAAATATCCTTTAACCGTTTTCCCTTTATGTATTATAGTGTTAACCTGGCACCTAGGAGTCCTAGTCATGGACCAGAATCCCACTGTGCTAGGTGCTGTACAAAGACAGAACAAAAAGACAGGCTCTGCCTCAGAGAGCTGACAATGCAAGTATAAGACAACAGGTGGATACAGAAAGACCAGGGAGTACAAAGAAACAACAAGACAACATTAGACTGCACGATAGGCAGTGGTATCTGTACACCAGCAACCTAATCGTAATTTTTGTAGGACTTATGGCGAAGAAGAATTTTAAGGAGGGCTTTGAAGGAGAAAAATGAAGTGGCTTTGTAGATATTTACAGGGTGCTTCTCCCAAATATGAGGGGCAGCAGGAGAGAAACCACAAAAGTGCTTTTTTGAAAATGTAACCAGTGGGCAATAGAAGTTGGCATTATTGGCCAGTCAAAGACTGGGAACTGCTCTCTCAATAGTGAATGAGAAATGATAGGTAGGGTGGGACTGGGAATAGGACATGAAGGCCTTTGAACTTGAAGACAAGGGGGCAGTGGAGGAATGCAGAGAGGGTGACATGGTCAAAGGAACAGTCTAGGAAAATAATCTTGGCAGCAGCATTCTGAAAGGATATAGCGGGGGGGGGGGGGGAATGCATTTGTCAAGGCTAGAGAAAAGGATGTTGCATTAATCAAGGTGATGGCAGCCTGACGAGAGTTTCAGCTGTGTAGATGGATAGGAAAGGCCATATCTTTGAGGTGTTATGCAGATGGAATCTGCAATATTTAGTCATAGCCTGAATGTGAGGAGTTAGAGAGGTTTGAGTTGAAGATGATGTCTAGGTTACAGACCTGAGTGACTGGCAGGATGGTGGTGTTGTCTTTTAGTCTTTAAATCCAGCCCAAGTCCTCACACTACCATTTACATAAACTGTTATAGAGCAAGATGTTACTGATGACGATATTTGAGCATCTCTCTTTTCTTCACTGGTCACCTCTGGTTTGCTGCTAAACTTAGCTGAGTCCATTTTAGCCTCCTCTCTGTGAAGAGATGGGCTAACAAACAAGACTCTTGCTGCTGACCTTTTCTTTCTTTATTTCATTTTGTTCCTTTCTTCTCTACCTAGTGCGCCATAACACATACTTTCTCCAGGCTTCCATATATTATTACAATGTATTTGTATTAGAGTAGCACCCAGAGGTCCAATGAGGTTGGGGACCATATGTGTTAGGCACAGTAGAAATAGTGAGTGCCTCTGGTCTGGTATTTCCTTCTGTAGCCGATATCTATAGGGTCAATTTCTGCCTTCATGTGTGTACACATAAGCCCTTTTGTACACAAGGGAAGCTGAATGCTTAAATAGGGCAGGGTTTCACCCATAGTACATATTTATGGCATAATGTCTGTATTTCATTATTAAAAGTAAGTATTTTATTATAATGTGACTATAATTTCCATATGCTATCTATGAATTCCCCAAAAGCATCACAGACTTTTCTCAGCTGAAATATCATACTCTACCAAAATAACTAGAAATTCAGAGCAGCTGGCTTGTTTGCAGAGAAAGATGCTTCATGTTGAATTTTTGAATGAAACACAGCCTCAGAAACATGTAGCAGTGTTTCACTTGCATTTTAATACTGTGGCTAATATACAGCTGTGATGTGTCTCAACTCCAATCTCACCGCAAAATTCCTGAAAACAGTTTTACAGAAATTTTAACACCGTCTAGCACATGTACAATTTTCCGGTGATTTGGAAAAGTATCAAATACTCTCTCAAGTCTCTGAAGCATTCCAGAGGAACTCCGAATACAGTATGAAGAAAAGTATATTTCAGCCATTGTGTCCACCAAAGAAGGACAAAACACTGAATATGGATTTTCCCCCTAAACCAGAGCTCATAAAGACATACGCTATTTTGCCATTAAAACTAAGCACATGGGGCCAGATTTTGGCCCCCACTAAGCTTTCTGTATGCTGCCCTAAGGCCGGCAGAAAGCTAGCTTAACCAACTCCTTGGAGATTTCCTCACTGTAGGGAATAGAATGTAGCCAATGAATTGCAGGTGAAGGAGGCATGACCGGAGCATTAATCTCCAGCTGTTGGAATGGTCTCTTGGACTGCTTTAAATGACACTTAGAGGTGAACTGGCTTCTGCCAAGATTTGGGGGTGGGGGAAATTAGTGGGATGTAAAGGTATCCTTAAACCACATTTTGCCCTCAATCTTCAGCTGAATGACAGGTTTCAGAGTAACAGCCGTGTTAGTCTGTATTTGCAAAAAGAAAAGGAGTACTTGTGGCACCTTAGAGACTAACCAATTTATTTGAGCATAAGCTTTTGTGAGCTACAGCTCACTTCATTGGATGCATACTGTGGAAAGTGTAGAAGATCTTTTTATACACACAATGCATGAAAAAATGGGTGTTTACCACTACAAAACGTTTTCTCTCCCCCACCCACTCTCCTGCTGGTAATACCTTGATTATCATACACATTGTAAGGAGAGTGATCACTTTAGATAAGCTATTACCAGCAGGAGAGTGGGGTGGGGGGAGAGAAAACGTTTTGTAGTGGTAAACACCCATTTTTTCATGCATTGTGTGTATAAAAAGATCTTCTACACTTTCCACAGTATGCATCCGATGAAGTGAGCTGTAGCTCACGAAAGCTTATGCTCAAATAAATTGGTTAGTCTCTAAGGTGCCACAAGTACTCCTTTTCTTTCTTCAGCTGAAGCTGAGGATTCAGCTTATTATTCAGATTTAATTTAAAACAGGGTGCATAACTCCTCTTAGCAACACAATATCTCATTGCTGTTATCTCAGGTCCACTGTAAAGTCATATTTTCTTCTGCCTTTTAGTTTTCTCTGCTAGTCCTTGACTCTATGTGATTTCTAAGGATTCTCCCAGGACTTTTATGAATCATTCTAGTTGTGGTCTTATGGAGAGGACACTGAAGAAATCTCTCTGGGTGATAGGATCTGAATGGGGTCCAAACCAAAACTTCAGATCAGAACAGCCCTAAGCTTTGGGGAAGTTTACATCTGAAGCCTATGACTGAAACTCGGGTGACTTGCTGTAAACAGTGAGCACACAGACCCAGCTGAACATTCAGATTTACAGACTTTTGAACTGTTCTAGAAATTGTTAATGAGTTCCAGTGGAGTTAACCCAACACACAAGTAGGAAAGTCAATGATCTAGTATCAAAGCCTATGTGCTACTTGTATCTCTAAATTGTTTAGACTACTAATATGTTTACATGGAAAAATATTTTTTACTTTATCAGGACTATGCACATGTGCTTGTATGGAATGGGCCCTGGATTAATCAGAAATATACTATTCCTTAATGCCCAAGGCTACAGTATGTAGGAACTACAGTGAGCAAGATTAGCACTCATATATGATGTGTATCAATATGAAATATTCATATTTTAATACCTTACCAGTGTCTTAGCAACTTTTCTGGCCCCTTTATTAGCTCAGTATGATTTAGATCTTTTTAGATCAATGCCAGTATGATATAGATCTTTTCCTTGTCACTTTCACCATACTGCTGCACTAGACAAATATAGTAGTAAGCAATTTATACAAGTAAAGAGCCATATCATGCTAATATTTTGATTGTAAATTAGTAAAGCTTTATGCAACTGATTCAAGAGTGAGGAAAAAATGGTAATTCAATAATTTGTTTGATTGATCAAAACCACCTAACTGTGCTGCTGTTAGCATAAGGGTTGTTTGTTGAAAAGATGTTGGAAGAAATCTGGCTGGGGAGTAGCTTAATTACTTTGAATGGCAAGACAGATTTTTCCCTGGCTGACTCTCTGAAACTGCCAA